GACTATTAGGTAGAATCTCCAGAAATTATTAGTTAGAGCACTTAGCTTCTTCATGTTCATTTGCATTTTCTCTGTGAGGTTCTAGAAATCCCAGTGGTCCCAATGATGTTTTGATTGCTTTGATGGATCCGAATGGGTGGAAGAGAATAGGGGATTTTGAAAAGAGCTTCTTGTTCTCCATCATACTGCTATGGCTGGGCCTGAGTTGCATAAATGTATAGGATTTACTGTAAAATAAACGCCAGCATTGTGATAGTAGCAGTTTTGCTATTAGCCCTTTCCATATTAAGATATTTGCTTTCTATTTGAAAATTGGAGGTAATGAGTAGGCTTCACTCTGAGTATGGCCTTGGAAATTCCCTTCAGGAGAAAAGACATCTCTAGGAACATGCGCCTTTAGGGTGTAGGGGAGGGAATTTTGTAGCAATGATTTCATGATTTTTGTTTTTTTTTTTTTTTTGATATGCAGATAACTTTTTGTTTGCCTATTTTTTTAAAAAAATAATTCAATCTTTGCCTTCCTTCTATTTCCTGATGGCTTTCTGAGATTGACTTGAGGAACAGGTCTGCTTCTGCTCAAAAATGATGGCCTGCAGGAGCTCCATTTCCAAGTGACTTGCTGGCCTGGTTCCCTCAGAGGTGATTCTGCAAGAGTCTGGAGTCGCACACTCCTTGTTGAATGTTAGTGAAGCGTAACTAGCAAAACTGAGCAACTTGTCACAGAATTTCTTTCTAAATTACTTTGTGAAGGATTAGAATTACAAGTTGGAGATGAATTGTTTTTGCAAAAAGAAAACAAAAACAAAAAACAGATCTGCCATCAGTAACTGTGTTTCTGCCCTTCAGTGGATCTGAGTAATACACAGTGAGGGAATCCAAAGCCTAAAGGTACAAGCTTCTCTTGTTACTGAGCATTCTAAAAATTTCATAAATACACGAGAACTGACTGTATTTTTAGCAGAAGGTTGAGAAACTAGTGTATACTCTCATAGGTATTTCTGAGAAATCTGTATTGCCAAGGTTTTTTTCTTGGTGATTGTGTATTGACAGGTTGTTACAGAGCAGGATGTTACAATGGCCCTTCATTTCCATTCCAGTTCTTCCTCCCTTGGGGTAATATATTGTTGTGTGCTTCCTATTGGGAGAGCTGTCTTACACAGAAGAGACTTGAGGAGAAGAAAAATGCAAGTATTTGTGTTTGTGTTTTTTTTCTTTTGGGCCTCCAGTAAATATAGTGCCATTTCTGTGGTAAAACTTGTGCTGACCCTGATTTAAAAATATCATTCGGGAAGGATTGCTTCCACAAGGACATACCATGCCATAAGGATCGTGTCAGTCTCCATCTCCTGTTATCATGGATATGAGGAATACCTCTTCTATGAAGAGCATCAGAATGTCTCATGGAAAGCCCTGGAAAGGAAATTCAAAAGTGATGAATTCCCCTGTTTTTCAAAAGTAATGATTTTGAAACCTTCTAACATTTAATATTATCAATGGATCTACTTAAAATTCATTAATATATGTAATATATGCAAGACTTCAAGCTTTCTGAGTGATGAGAAAAGACTATTCATGAAAATAGATTAGCATTGTGGAGTCCTGTCTCTGACGTTTTCAGGGGAAGGGGGATGGGGAAGATTCTGCAGATTCTTGTTTGGAAATGCTGAAATTTCCTAGTTCTCTCACCTCCCCTTGGAGTGCTGAGGTTACTTTAATTTCTGCATGCTTGAAAAACGAAGTGTTTAAACATCACTTCATGTAATTTGTATAATGAATTTAATTCTAATCCTTGAGATGTATAACTTTATGGTAAAGAGGTATACTTGAATGGGCTTAATTTTTTCTTGTTCTCTCTAGGAGCATCCCTTATCCTTGTGAAGTTGATTTAATTTCTCACTGCTGAAAACATTTGATTACTAACTGTTTTATGGCTTATTACTTAATTATATATAGCGGAATAAAGGAATATAACTTTATGATGTGTATTTTTGCACTTCTTTCTTTTGCTTTTCATAGCTTTTGCATGCAGATAGTTGTAAATTTTCGTAGCTGTAAAAGATTTGCAATATGTGCTATGTGCAGGCAGTCTGTAACAGGACTGTGGGGAGCTCTGTAATAGAAGCTGTCCTACCAAAAATCAGTTAATCTGGAACTTGAACTATGTCGTACTTGTTACCTGCCGCTGCTATTATAGTTCGAGGTGTACTTTTTTATAGTTCTTATATTGTGAGGTAAAGATAAGAGTAGGCACTCTGCTCCCTTGCCCTAGGAAGGTGAGCAGTAAATCCCTAGTGATTTGCAATGTGCAATATTAAGCAATATGTGGCAATTGCGGAATTGCTTTGGAATACCAAAGCGGTGTTTCTTGGGAGTGCTTTGTCTTTTCCTTTGAACATTAAAGTGTTTTGCCCAGATTTTTGTTCTGTCTGCATTAACCCAGAAGTAGAGATGTTGTTTCCTTTGAATTTGACCTGTTAACAGAGAATCTAATCACCTTGTTCTCTTTTGCTGTTCTCAGCATACAGACTTACAAGAAAGAGGCATGCTGTGTTTGCTTTTTGTTAAAAGTATGCAGAAATACAGTTTTTGTTATGTGTGGTCTGGAAATCTTTGTGTGTCTAAACCCATGGCTGAATGCTAAGGGATACTCTTGCTCCTGCAGAGAGTTCTTTTTTTTTCTCTTTCTGCATTTGTGTCCGTCAGATAGAGCTACTTTTTGCTAAAGCCACATCCTCTTCAAACTTCTTAAATATAATTGGAATATTTAGAAGAAAGAGTCTCAGAGAAGGAAGTCATAATTCTGGTGACGATACAGTAAATGCCATCAAGCCAGGACTTCATAATTCTAGTTCAAAAAAGTAACCTCAGACAATTAATACTGTTCATAAAGAAACAAGAAGAATGTATAGTATTAAACAAGTTGGTACACAGTCATTAAAAGTTGCTTATTTCCCACTTAACATTGAATTGTGGATAAGCCCTTTAGTTCAAACCTTGGAATGGCAAAAGTCTAGTTAATTTAGAGAGGTTGCCTTTGAAATGGCTTGGCTGAATTGCTAAGCGGTGCTGCCGTTTGCAGAGAAGAGTGTTCAAACAGAAAAGGTCGGTATCTGCAATGCATATGACTGCAGATGAATTTTTTGGAAACATTAGAGCTCAGTAGAAGTTGGAGTTTAGAGAGTGTGACTGCTTATACGTTATCAATGTTCATAATGGAAATGAAAATAGTAAGCAGAATTTAAAAATAAAAGTTGACAAGGGTGTGAGGCAGGATCTCACGTTAGCAAGAATAGTTATATGGGTTTTTTGTAGCATTGGGAAAACTGCATGTTTTAAATGTTGAGGTATATCAAACCTCATTATGCGTCTTTAAAGATTGAAATTTCGTAAAAATGAATATTTTCTTGCAATGACGTGGAATTTTGTAGCATATTGGAGTTTTTCAGAAGCTGCTCGCTTTATTCTTTGAAAATAGAAAATAATTGGAAAGAAAATCTATTTGTCCTTATATATATATATATTTTTTTTTTTGCAAATTATTTCAAGACTTACTTTTATAAAGTAGTGTAATGTAATGTACCATTTCCGCTAGTCTTTTGTTGTTGGACATGCTGTCATTGCAGAGGACGCCAATAAGGACCTATCTCCTATAGGCCAGAAATGTTGTGAAGGCTTGTTCATTTATAAACTATTCTGTAGAATTAGCACAGTTATTTTTACTTCCCTCTTCGCTTATTTATAGTCATTTCTTTTGGCATAAGTAAAAATTACTGAATAGCAATATATTTCTTATTTTCACCTCTATACAGTATTTTAGATTATTTTCTCTGACCTGTATGTAGCGCTGAGTTTACAGATTGTAGCTTGTCACTTGTTGCTAGTGTTTTACCTTTACAGGAACAGGCCGACTGAAGTGGAAGATCTGCTTTCCTCTGTGCAAAGAAACAGAGAAAACAGAGTATTTTAGTTAAAATGTGCATGCATGTTGTTATGTATCTTTGTAAGCAAAGCTGGAGGCGGATGTGATTTTTGTACCAAATGGAGGTATGGGAAGAAAGATGTCTGAGAAAATACTTCAAAGATGCAGTCAGCTCCACTTAAAATTTAAGGCAAATCCTGACCCCTGTCTCTAGTTATTCCATGTAAGGTAGTGTGTGCCAAACAAGGTTATCCCATCTCCTGAACACTCTCAGACCTAATGAATGTACAGATATCACTGATGTCACTTTGTTCCTTCTGATGCCTCTTTCCTTGTGTGTCTTTGTATCATGAACTTTTCAAAATAGATATCATATAGCTATTATCTCCTCTTACTGAATGGAACATGTCTGACTTTCTTCAGTCTTTCTCCTTTTTCCAAGTGCTTCCTACTGCAAAAATGCACTATACGTAATTACTAGAAGGTTTTTCTTTGCTTTCATCTGACATCTTTGTCTATCAAAATATTCCTTTACATGAAGATCAGTCTTTTTACGACTGTGCTATTATATGCGAAAATACTAAATTTTGACTTAAGGAATATTGTTAGAAGCTTAAATCTGAGGGTGGAAAGGCTCTGTGAAATATATTCAGTCTGAGATGGGATTTTTTCCTCATGCTTGTGTATTACAACTTTGAGCATTGCCCAGAAAAAGAATTTAAACTTCTCTAATTTTAAATTTTCCATACTTAGTCTACTCAGACTTATTTATTGTTTTCTTAGTGTTTAGTAAGAGACATCATTTCTAAATTATGTCTGAAAGGAGCAAGATCTGCTTGTGGACTCTAGATGGATATTTGCACTGATCATGCGGTAGTATTTGGTATTGTGTGCAAATAGAACAACCCAGCTGGCATGGGTGCTAGCAGTAACATAACATTTCTGCAGAATCCGTGATAATTTTTTGTTCCCTGTGTGCGGTCTCATCGTTTCGTGCCGCTCCACGGTCCTCTGGTTGTCGTGTTCCTCAGAGCTGAGGCTGTGCCGCTTGCCGCAGTGGTGGATGAGGGCTGGGTGAGTCATGTCGCGTTTTCCTCTCCCCAGCAAAGCACTTGGCCAGAGAAACGACGTGGATGGCACAGTCAGCAGTGCTCAGCCTCAACACGTGGGGAGGCAAGACAGAAATCCTGCTCGGCACTGGGATTCTGAGGACGTAAAATTCCCACCATCCGGTGAGGAAAAAATACCCCACCACGCACACAGATCTATTGATGGTCATTCAAGCCCTGTTGAGATGAAAGTGAATCCTTTCAGCGGTGGTTGTTTGCAGGATAAGGTGCTGTATTCTAGAAAGCAGTGACTAGGGGAAGGAGGCGGAGGTAATTGTAGATAATCAGCTGATAATAGATGTCTGTTATGATGCTGTGGCTAACATGCTGGTAAATATGTTGAGGTTTGTGCAGGATGTGGATGCTTGTTAGCTTTTATGTGGCATGGGTAGAAAAAAATACTTGCCGAGTGTTATATAACAGGGTCAATATTTTCAAAAGAGTCAAGAAAAGTTCTCGGTGTGCCAACAGGGAGACTATGTCCTGTAGCAAGAAACTATAGAAACCTAACTTATTTTCTGCTGCCTGAAACTATAGGGCCCCTTTATGCCTCTTATTGTAAATTAAAGTTACTTTATTTGCCTTTTTACCATTGAAGCTGGAAACAAAATGCAAGTTTTAATGAGCTTTCAGAGTATCTTGGCTAGGCATATCAAAGTATTGTTACACTCTGATTTATGTGTGGTTGTGTAAGATTAGGCTCTGAATCAGCTTGAAGTGAAGCTTGATGTTGGTGATCCTAATTGAAATTCCTCTTGTTCTTTTGTATAGTGCAAATTAGATGACTGTAACCTATTCTAGCTTTTCTTACCCAAACCTTGTGAAAGCGTGCTGTGATTCATCATCCAAGCCTGCAATGAAAGTAGAAGCAACTCGGGCAAAGGACCAGGTACTTCTTTGTGCCTCCTATTTTAGCTATGGGATGCTATTCTTAAATCCTACTTGTGTGGTTACAATTAGACAATCCTGAGCTCAGGTTGACCCAACAAGTACAGCTGCATAACACCCGTGTGAGGCACATGAAGCACTGGTCTGTCAATATCACTGGTTGCTTCTGCTGTAATTCAAATCTTCCCTTCTTCCTTATTTTTCTTTTGAATTGCTTTATTTTGTAGAACTAGTTCAGTTACAGTTTCTTATTGCCAATCACATGATATGCAGTACCTGTTTGCGAGAACGAGCTCAATCTGTTTTACCCGAGACTGTTAATAGCTACGAGGCAAAAAGAAAAGCTTCTTAAACTGCATCTCATCCCTAAGTGCCCACATTAATTCTTCCTTTCTATTCTAGTGCAAACTCAAGGGTGTCTGTAGGATACTCTGTATCACTGATGAAATTATGGTTGACATTTTTGACTTTTCACTAAAACAGACTAGAAGCCTTGATGCAATCAGTAGTCATGTCCTAGCTCGCTGTGTGCTCAGGCTCAGAACCAAGACCTTGCTATTTCTTCTGATTTTGTTGCACTTTAGCCATAGCGGGGTCTGAAATGGTGTGGATATGCCAGACATGACAGAGTGTGAATGCAGCCTGAGACTGACCGTGGATGTGTGTCTGGAGGATGGGTAGTTGTGTCCTCTTTTGCTGTGTGTAATTAAGTTGCTGTGCTAGAAGCTGTACAAAGCTAAGCAATATCCATTAAGATAGTTGGCCTATCAAAGAAGGGCAAAGGAATCAAAGCAGTTGGATTCTGATGGTTTTCTTTTCTTCCACTGCTTCTACTTGTCTAATTATTTTTCTGCTGATGTGTCTGTTTCTTAGGAGTAGTGGGTTTGAAGTTTTACTGTTTTTTTAAGGAACATCTTTTGTAATAATACTATAGAAAAGATAATTGAAGACACATTCTCCAAGAAAATGCAAATTTTGTGAAAAATGATTGTTGCTGTTCTTACTGTGTTTCTATGTTCCTTTTACACTTAAACAGCTTGCAATATGTATAAATCTGTTTGCATTTGACACATAACTAGTTTATTGTATTGCACGGAACTTCAGTGTGTGTGTATATGTAGTATCTACTTCTGTAATATGTATTATCTCCTTATCTATAGATGGCTGATTGCCCTGTTACTTAGGAACTTTAATGAAATACTATACTCTGAAAAATTATAGATGATTAGAAAAATGTGGCTTTGTACAACTACATATTGGTGAAGATTTGAAGCAAATAAAGCTGCAATGAACCTTTTTTTAAAGGATAATTTTTATCATCCATTCAAGAATAATTTGGCATTACAAGAAGGTATCTTAAATCACTGAGCGCAGCTATTAAATTATTTTATTCAGGTCCTCTTACATGTTTAGCAGTGTTGGAGCTGAAGATTTTATCAGTGCTTTGAGCTTCACTGCACAGTTTCAATTTTGCTTTAATTGAGTTTTCTTTGCCCTTTTTTGCATAGAAGTTAGATATTATTAAGTATCTCTTTCAATGGTTGAAAACATCTTTCACATCACTCTGTGTCTCTGAAAGTTATGGCTGAATATAAGTGATACTTTGCTTTTAAATTATTTAAGATGCTGGTAAACTGTATTAGTTATAGATAGCATTGTAAAACTGCTCCAAGATGGTAAACACTGCTCCTTTTTTTTTTTTTTTTTTTTTTTTTTTTTTTTAAGATAGCTTCTATGCCCCGACATTATTTAAAGTCACTATCAGTCTCAGTAGGACTTTATAATAAGCCTGCAAAGCAGCTGCCAAGTGTAGATATCCAACATTTACATTCACTGTTGTGTGATGGTAGCTGTGACATGATTCCAATTAAAAGCTTGGTCTGCACACTGCAGATGTCTTCTGAATATTAATGTGTACTACAGACAGAGCAGATGGAATCTTTTTGAAATATAGTACTGTGAATGGAAAATTAGGGTTGGGTTTCTCATGGAAACTGGGAGGTAGCTAAACTTTTTTCTTTTTTTTCTTTTTTTTTCCTGTACTGTGCATTGCTAAATCACAAGAATATCTGTGTGCTGTCATCATATTTCCATACATATACGAGGAAATCAGCTCTTCATTATGCATCCAGATAAAAATGCAGCATTATTTCTTACTGAAATTGTTTTAAATGCCAGATGTACTGAGAAAAATATGCATGTACGCAATGTCTATTGTGCTTTAAAAGATATGCCGCTGCCTAAAGGACAGATAATGCGATAAGTAATAGTTGAAATATAGAATGTCTAGGAGATATTGGAGTTGTTCATTAATAAAGACTGTGCAAAAGTTTTTATCTGTGTCTATTGAATTGCTCTTTGAACATGTCCAGTGAGGAGCGTTAGGGAAATAACCAGGAGGGATAGCGTAAAACTTGAAATAAGAGGATGACAAGAATACCGATAGTGCACCTTGGTGTGGTGTGTTGCAGAAGCAGTTAGCTTCCAGAAAACAGAAACAATCCAGCTGTGAAGATGTGTAGATTAATTACTTGTATATTTACCTTGCTTCTCTAGTGAAACAAAATGAGAAGTGCTAGTAACAAAAATAAATTAAAAGTCTTGGAAGTAAGAGAGCAAGCGTGGCACTGAAATAGAAATCAGGGTGGATTCTATGAGTGGGAATTGTAGCTGTCCTGCTTTCTGCTGTTGTAGTCATCCTTTTGGGCAGAATGCAGGAGCGTGAGAAGGGAATGAGTGTATCCAGAGAACAGTTTATAGAAAAGGCAAGGATATGTGAAATATGTAAATTGGGTATGCTGTTTAACTCACTAGTGCTATTACTGTAGTTGTGACGTGCTTGCCTCCCAGCCTCTTCATACCTAATTTCACAGTGGAGGTTTCTGGCCTCAGCAAGGGTACTTGCTTCAGTGATGTCTGCATACTTCCAGAGAAATTGGCTGTTTGGCTTTCTTGAGGATGATACTCCATTGATGGGGAGTTTTTAAGATCTAGACCACAGTAAGACTGAACAAAATTGCCATCGAGGTTTGGGAGAGAACAGCAGTGACTGCGTAATCGCGAAACGAGGAGGAGCTGGGCCTGGCCTCAGGCAGCGGGTTCGGATGTTGCAGTCCCAGGTGGTGGCTGTGGGTGCCGTTCCCTCTGGAAAGGAGTGCCCAAAGTGCCTGCAGAATCAGGCTTACCTGTAAGCACCAGAGATTGAGAAGCCTGCAGTGGGTCAGTGCTCTTGGGGAAGTTTCATAATGTGTAATGCATTCCACTGGTTGGGGTAATAGTGGCTCATCTTACTGGCAGGTCAGATCACTTTTAGTCTTAGTGACTCCAGACTGTGAGAGAACACGAGCATGGTGTGTGAAATACATAAAACATTTAACTCTAGCTTATGGGTTTTTTTGTTTGTTTGTTCGGGTTTTATTCACATTAGCTGAGCATGGGTCAATGCGATTTCTCTAGACTTCGGGAAGCCGAGTCAAGAGACTTGGAAAAGAATGAACCTGTCCTCCTTTTGCCACTTATCACCCCAAGACGTGGGCAAGTTGCACATATTTCTTGTTGTTTTGGAGAGGCCTCATAACTCTCTAGGTGAGATGCAACCATCTTTTCTTTCTGAAGCATGTGTTTTAATAAAACTTGCACCTTTTTCTTCTTGTGATGATCCTGCTGGTCTGTAGTTTCCAATTTGTCTTTAATGCTTTCTAGCTTTTTTTTTGTTGTTGTTGTTGTTGTTCATTTGGTTTTTTTGAGCAACTCCATAAAAATCAATTCAGCATTCTGTGTTTTTTTTTCTTTTTTTCTTTATTATCTAGGGTAATGTTTGGTTTCTAAGACTAACATCATTATGGCTCTTAAAGCTTTAGTAATACTGCTAATGTAGCTCCTTTGCTTCTGTATTTCTGAAATGCTACCTTCTGTGCTCGGGTTTAGGAGCAAGTTTAAAATTCTCTTTGTCACCTTAGACTGCCTTACTGTGCCTTATCTTGCAGTACCTTCCTGTGTCTATTCTCCTCTGACAGTCCTTTGGAGATTTGTCAGGTTCTTCTCAACTCTCCTAATACTATGAGGCATCCTTTCTTTTCTGTGCACTGTATGATTTTGTCTTTCTAATCTTGAAAAAAAAAATCTGCCATTTCAGTCTCTGACAGTCCCTCTTGTAATGTCAGGATGCAGGTTTATCCTTAATGGGTCTGTTCAGCTGAGGTTGTACCTTGGGGCTGGGGACTTGTCTGATTACGTTTTTGTAAAGCAAGCGTGCATCTTAATGCTATCTATTGCATCTAATATAGACTGCACTCATGAAAAACAACTCCTTCTATATTTGTATTAGCCTCGGGAGTCGCCTTTACTTAGAGACTCAAAAATGAGTTTAGATTAGCATTTAGAAAAATATGATTGCATATCTGGTGATAGAAGTCTTTTTTTTTCTTTTTTTTCCTGCTATAGCATTAAATTGTAATTACCAGAAATCCTTAAATGTTGATCCTCAAATCTTCAAACTTTCTCACATTTGCAATGGTTCATTTTGATGCGAGTCCATTAACATCTTGGTGTGTGGAAAAACAGTTTGACAGCTGTAGTCTAGCACTTCCTTATCATAAGTTGATATGACATTCCATAGAGACAGTCACATCTCAGATTTATGCTTTGCTCTGCTTCTGGTATTTCACTTTAATAGCTTATATTGTGAACTACCATGTTTTGATAATCTTAACTGACTTGCTAAATAGGAACCATGTACATTCTCTCTCTTTCTTTGTCTGTGTTCACACAGAATGATTTTTGTGCCATAATTCAGTGTGGCAGTAGTCGCTGGAAGTCATTGATTGCTGATTTGTTTTATTCCTACCTGTATTGTAAACCTGTGCTCTTTGGACTCCGAGTGATAAACTACTGAATTTATGCAACCTATTGTAAACTTTGCTCTTTCATCAAGAGAACTTCAAAATGTTGTTGAGCTGATCAAAGCATTTAACTGAAGATTTGTGTTATAAGAAATATTTTTTTGCATGCACAATAGATTTAACTTAGTCTGCCTAATACTATAAATTATGTCCAGAATCAGAAGCTATTGGTATCTACTTACCCTTTTCTCCCTCAGTTTTAGTTAAGAAATGTTCACAGAAGTCAGTAAAAATTAAAGTACTGAGGAGAAGGAGGGGAAATAGAGTTTCTAAGGTATACAATACAGTATGTCAGTGTCTTGTACTGCAGGCCCTTATTTTGTCACATTTTTTTTCCTGTAGCTCTGAATAGATCTTTCAAGCTGTATTTCTTCTTTGTGGATTCTGTAAGAATTTAATATACTTATCACAATGTATGTTGCTGTATTTTGATGGCCTCAGCCTGGAGAATGATTGTTGTTTTCCTGTTCGCTTCAGTCCTGGCCAGTCAGTCTTACAATCATTCCACTAATGTTGCAACAGACTGAGATCCTAGTAAAACTGCTGTTGCTACAGCTGAGCAATGGTCAACTGTAAATTCAGGTAGACTCTAGAATTGGTCACAAATTCTCTTGTCACAAAATCTTCCTCAGAAGAAGGATCTTTTGCAGGAGCAGCACTACCAGAAGCGCTCCTGGAAGAAGAGGTGCTATGAACGTTTTCAGCTGCAGAATCTCAAAGATGACTAGGATCGATATCCTAAGCCAGTTTTGGCAAAAGTGTCTCATCTATGGCTTGATGTGTCTTCCCACTCTCACGTTTTTTGACTCTTAGCACGTGCTATAGGCTGCTAAGAAGGAAAATGGACTGTTTTAGTCTCTTCTGGTACAATGTTTTACTTTAGTTCTGTTTCACTTGTATTTACCTATCACTGGGTTGTGGCTTTGCATGACCCAAGTAAAGGGCTTTAGGGCAAAGATGAGAAACATTAGGAAGTTGACTGTTGCTGCATATGTAGTTTTCACATAATGGAGAGTTTATCATACAGTCATATCTCAGAAAATCTTAATCTCATATTTTCGGCATTTCATATGTAACTGACATGAGAGAAGGCCCACTGGTGTTCAGGTAGGAAAATCAAAATGTGAATATAAAAGATGTAATAATTCTATTTCAAAGTAGTAACACCATGTAAAAGTGAACGTAAAATTTTATACATGTTAAAACAGCCATTGGTATAAGGAAAAGCAAACTATCAATTTAGTCTTAAATGCTTTGTGGAGGCAGAATAATAGTTTCCTCTTAACTGTCCTTAAATGGTTATGTTTTTGTCTTTTTCCACTGTGGAAAACTTGATGCTGTTTTGATGGCACTGAACTCTGCTATGGGATAAAGTAATCAAGATTACAAAAGAAGCCTTAGTCCTTGAAGAGTATGTGTGGTGTTGCTTGTGTTTTTTGTTTTGCCCTCTCTGCAATGCCTGAATAATGTCAGGGTTTCCTGTAGCAGCTCAGAGGTTAAAATGTTGTTCTCAAACACGAATGAGTAATGGGTATAGTAATCAAAACATGGAGAAGAAAGAGTTTGTGTGCAAGACAGTGCCTGAAATAAAATCATGTGGTTACTTGCTGATGAACACTCTTCTCTTAAAAAAGGAAAAGGGTGGGGGGGAACTCAAGATAACAGGACAGAAATAAGTGTTTGTGAACTATTACTTGAATAAGATTTCTCGCAAGTGTGAACTGATTTCCATGAAAGTAATTCAGAGCTCTAATTTAAATAATGGTTTAATCAACAGGCAGGAAGCCTATTTAAATCTGGCAGTTCCTGAAGAAAATTGTATTCTCACCTTGGGGTAGTGTAATTTAGGTCACCTTTTGTTACCTTGGGTGGATAAGCTGTGTATGTGCTTATTATTTAAGGTTATGTTCAGTATGTATTTATTGATGTTCTTAACTTTTGTATACTTGCACTAAAAAATGACCCGGCACACTTTAAATTGGGTTAATTTTTACTTGTGACCAACTGAATTTGGATGGAAATTACTGTGGTTTAGAAATATCCAAATCACGGTTTGAGAATAGTTAATCATTGAACTGAAGTGGCTTTGAACTGGTCAGACTGTTTTACTGTAAATTTACATTGAATTGTTTTGGGCTTTATATTTCTCCTCTAGTAAATCATTTCTTTGTAGTGGGAACTGAACTGTTTTTATTCTAGTCCTTTTATTCCTCAGTACCTTATTGCTAGTAGGCATTATTTTTTTTTCTTTTTTTCTTGATAATAAGAGGTGAGTTTTAAGGTTTAAGTCTGCTTAGCATCTTTGGGGAGTAACTCAGTTGAACAAGCTCAGTAAGCTAGAGACAAAGTTGGAGGTAGTGTTGAAGGTGGCTCCATGGGTGGCTAGGGGTGGATATGCAAAAAGGAGGGGGTGGAGGGGGCAAAAATGTGTGCTATTTTCCATTGAGTGTTTGTTGACTGTGCGGCATGTGTTTGTTGTAAAAATGTACTGTGATTGCTCAAGAAGATTATTTGAAATTCTTAATAGTGAATTTGTGTTTTTTATTTTGTTTTTCAGCTCCAGTCATTAACCGATACAACAGGAGAGTATCAGGTATGATTTTCCTTTACCAATTTCATGTTTCTGAAAAGTTTTGAAATATATATTTGACTAAAGGAATTGGTTAAGAATGACCACCTTATTCTTCATCACTGTGTTTTATTGTTCATACAAACTTGTGTAGAAATTTAAGAAGCAATGTTAAAATGAAATGCTTGCAACAGTTTTATTAATCCATTAAACAGTTTTATTAATATTTTGTAAATGGTCCGGTTACTGAAAACAGTGCATAGTATCTGTTAATTTATGCTATTTATTTTCTTTTTGTGGAGGTTCTTCCTTCAACACTGACCTTATGTTGGCATTTTGCTACCCAGACTTCAAAGCATAACTCATGTAATGCTAGATTATGGATTTTCCAACTGTAGAGAGTTTCAGTAAGGCAAGACTGCTGTAACAATTACTGATTTTTGTTGTTGTTGCTGTTCTGTTATTAATTATGAAAAATGTAAACTTGGGGCATACTGACAATTGCTGCTTTAGTCACTGTAAGTTTTTAGCTTTATAAAACTATTTCATTCTCTAAAACTATAATTCAAATAGTTTTTTGAGTTTTTTGACACATGGTCAAGAACTGGTGAGCAAGTTTATTTTTGCTTTTTAAAAATTTGAGCACATGCTTACTTTTGGCTTTTGCAGTAATTTAGCAAATACTTCAAGGACATGAAAATTTGATTAAAATCTGCTTGAAAAGTGGTAATCTACTGACAAGATCAAGCTAATCTTTTAGATACAAGACAAGTCTTCATCTTTTATTCCAAAAGAAGTCTTTTATTTTTGCTTTTCTCAAATAACTGGGGAAAAAAAATTGCTAGTGAGGTTTTTATATTGCAGCAGTCATAGTAGCATATCCTCATGTATTACTGCTGTTTTTTTACCCTGGAATGCCAGGATCATGGGGATTCATTCTGCTTGCTTGTGCTCCCCATTTCTGCTACTGCTGCGACTTGCTCATTCCCAGTCAGTATTTGCTGCTGAGGGAGGGAGAATGTTGGCTTACTTGACATTAAACTCCTCCAAGTGATTAAACAGCCCTAAAGGCTCTGCAGGGACTCCCGTTGCTTCTTGACCAGAGAATGTGGCTTTGTGCACTGGTCAGAGATTCAACATGCAGAGCTTGCGACTGTAGGTGGGTTGTGAGAAGCTCCATACCCTGTGCAGGAGGGTCATCCTGGGAAAAGGAGGCTTATCTAATCGTGTTCAGGGCATTATTTATGGACGTGCAGAGCAGTAAAGGAGTGTTCTCATGAAGAGAAACAGCCTTTTCCAGGAAGGGTTAGGGGACAGAGAGAAGAATGAGAGCTTGGATGTTCCCCTGCAAACTTTTCTATCCAATGAATTCTATAGGATGGTGCAAGGAGATTGTAATTAAATGTCAAATGCCATAAATACATTTATGGATATTAACAGATATCAGTTATAAGCTAGGTTAGGTTTTAGCTGAAGTTAGTAATATTCCCCTCCTTGGGCAATAATAACAATCTGTTTCAAAGTGGGAGGGAAGATGGCAGTGGTATCTGTCCCACTGTAGTAACTGATTCATAACATATAGGGGAGCTTTGCTACTAGCAGTATATGAATGAAAGTTAATGGGGTATTTGGAATGAAAATTGTACCACTTCAGTCTTGCCTGAGTGTAATTTCTACTTCTTTTAGTTTTCACATCTTTCAGAAAAGTAAACTCTTTTGCTAGATTCTTATAATGCCATTTCCTGGCTTTGATTTTTCATTCCACAGAACACCCACTCTCCAACAGACTTGCTGACTTCTTCACATGATTAAAAAAATCTGTCAGAATATGACACTCATGCCCTATGAATATCCTTACTCTTGTGATGAAGACTTTCATCCGTTCCCTGAGCAGCATCCGCTTTTCTTGAACAAAGCTCAGGTCACGTCACCTTGTCGAAATGGTCAAGGTTGCAGCCCTTCACTTTGTGATTGCAAAGTGGTATAAAATTCCAGCTGAGCTGCTGGAATACTCGGACTACTTTTATGAATAATAAGCACTGCATTTTCATTAGGAAATGATTAACTGTACTTCAACTTTTTAAATGAAGTGTATTTTTTCAAGCCTAACTTAAGCATTTTTTTTATGAGTAGACAGGTAGAGTATATTTTAGCAAATATTTATTTATATATATGTAGTGTTTTTCTTGTGTATGTATTCAGATGTATCTAATGTGGTTTCATTCCATTTAAAAAAATAAACATTTCCTGGTGAGATTCCTAGATTCAAGTATTATTTATTGTGCTTAATATAAAAGGAGCTTTATCTCTTCAAAAAATCCCTTTTATTTAGCATAATTTTTTTCAGTCTAGTGCTTGAACAAAATTAACATACATAATTAAACTTTTAAAGCATATAAATTGGTCTTGTGCTCCTTTTTTCGACATCATCAGCCTAAAAAGCTGTATTTGGTTCTGACTATGATTGATGTGAGTAAAACATATATATATATATATATTCATACATATTAGAATTCTACTTAATTACTGTGGTCATAGATTTCATGTGCAGAGTGAAGAGCAGTGATAACTGTGAATGCCCAGGCTGCTTTTTTTTTTTTTATTATTATTGACTTGCATCCAAGTAGGAAAGCTAAAATCACCTCCCAAAGACAAGCTGATATGTTCTACTTGGTGTTTTTTTTCTTCCTTTTTTTCTTTCTTGGCTTTTTTTTTCCCCCATAAGATTTTTTTTTTCCAAGGGAAGCTGCATTACATTTGGAATATTTAATTGGGTTTTGGGTATTGACACCTATCTGCTGCTGTGACAGATGTGCCACTCTGTGCTCCAAATTCTAGGCCCGATAACTTGCTCCTGGAATGGTTTGTGAGAAACCCACACTTACTAGCTTTAGTCAGCTGATAACTTCAGATTTGCCATTTCTTATTTTGGAAATGGGGAATTCTTTAGCTCTCTGTGTTCTTCTGGCTCCTATCGAAGATGAGCAATCATCTCATAAAGTAACCGTGTTGTTAAAGTCCAACACCTCTCTGGGCTTTTCAGTGAGATGAAACACTTTTCCACCCTGAGAAGCTGAGATGTCAGGATTTGATAATGCTGTGCATAGAAAAGCCTTTTTAGGAGCTTTTAACCTTTTTAAATGACAGCTTAAAATAATTTTCTAAGAAAGTATGCAGCACGTAAGTATTTGGTAGAGAATACAGTTTTGGGATGCAGTTCAATTCAGACATCCAGTGCCTCCAGCAAGAGGCAACACTTTTTCTGTCTTGCAAAATGTTGTAACCTCAGGCCAACAAGGAAAACTGAGCGGCCAGCTTGCTCTGTGCTATTTTCCTCACATTCTGCTTACCTGAGTACCTGATTATTGGAGGATGACTTGAAAATCATGATCTGTTTCATTCCCCAGTTACTGTAATGTGTTCTTGTATTGATTATTCACCACCTTAGAAAGCCAGTGGTGTAACTCTACTGAGAGTTTTCAGGCAGATGATAAATTGCAAGAGATTGGAGTTTTAAGTTCAGATTTTTAAGAATGGCATAAATAGCTTTCCCGTTTGAGCAACTTGATGCTGCTTCTATCGTTTTTTTGCTAGCTCTAATGGTTGCAAAACTCGTATCATAACTAGAGTGAAAATAATTCATCTTAAAAATGTTGATATGAGCAAAAGCCAAGTGTGTGGGATGACAGATGAAAGTAGTGATAAATTGTGTGGGTGCTCTCATGTAAGAAAGTGCCTGAATCATTATTCGTTAGACAAGGGAAAAGAAGCCCATTTTCCCTGTTTGCAATACTGGGACTTACTTAAAAATTCTTGGCATGCAATTGGCATTGGAATAATGAATAGTATTTAATTTCGGAAATTAGCAATCGTGATTTCAGTTACTTGGATATCACACTGTAGTGCATGTTCTGTTTGGAATAGTTACACTTTTTACTTAATCTTTCTTTAATCTTAATCTCTTCTGAATAATTGTTGATGCTCATAATGTTATGAAACAATGAAAGCCAGTTCATCTAGAGCTGAATATTTAAACTTAAATTAGGAATCTTTATTAATTGGAGAATAGGTTACATCTATGAACATTCTGTAAACAATTACATTAATTCACTAAGTATGAGTCTTTCAAAACCATCCAAGCAACAAAAGCAGCAAGTGGTAAATGTTTATTTTTCTTAAAAAAAAAAAAAAAGGGGGGGGGGGAGAGAAGAAAAATATATTTTAGAAACCTACTTAAATTATAGTATTTACCTTAGATACACAAACCCTTCAGAAAATCTCACAGGTTTCAGACTCTCACTTTAGCAGGCTGGACTTTTTTGAGGTGAGATGGGGAAGACAATGATTGCCTTTTTAGCTGTAGCTTGTTTTTAACGTGTCTGAATAAAAATATTTCTCCTAAAATTCTTCGTTATAAGCAAAATAGTGATTTTAAGCTTTTGAGCACAACCATCTGAAACCAGATACATGGGAGGAAATCCCAAAATGCATATCACAAAGTCAAACCCAGGACTTTTATATTCGATGCAGAATACAGTGCAGTGATGCATGTGTTTGGTGTGATATCAGAAACTGTATGTGGTTTGTGTTGGTCATCTTAACAAACATGGCACTTTTCCCTTTGTTTTATATCAAATATTCGGCAAAGTAGTATATGTATACTATCTTAAACTGGCTGCTACACTTTTAACGAGTTTAGGCGTCAGTATAGTTTGTAACTTCAGATTAAACTTTAAATTGATTGACTAATCCCTGTAGAGCAGAGCTCTTTAAGCGTATCTGATTTAAATATGAATGGATATTCCATATTTTTGCAGAAGTGTCACTCAGCCCTTTTTAACATCAAAAAACCTCAGCGAGATTGCAAATATTCCAGATAGTGTAAAGCTTCAGCAGTCAGAATACGAAAACCCAACTGCAGGGTAAATAATGGGTTTAAAGCGATCTCTCTTGGGAAGGGCTATGAGCATAGTACTCTCAGCTATAGAGGCTTAGCAGCTTGTGGCTTGCCTTTGGGAAATGGC